CCCCCCCCCTCCTTTCAAAAAGGTGGACATTTTACTTTTCCAAGCGTTGTTCCACGTTCACGTAATTTTTTTGTTAACATTCTTGTATCGATACCTGCACAAGAGATAAAATGTATTTACAAATCTTTGCCTTTCTTAAGTAGTTATTTCAATATTTACCATATAAAGCTGGAATATTATGTCGTTTAAGCCATGATGATAATGATTCAAGTGCATTCCAATGACTATAATTCTCCGAATGAGCACTAACAATTACTGCTGCTGCATGAATTTTATTGGATTCAACCCAACGTGGTATATGGAATTCATCACAAACCTTCTCATCGGGAACACCATAATTTCCAATTAATGGATATGTTAACACAAGTATTTCACCCGAATAGGACGGATCTGTCAGTGATTCGGTATAACCAACCATACCGGTTTGAAAAACTAGATAGAAAAACACCAACAAATGGAACATTCGTGAAAAATAGTCTATAACACCTATATCTCACCAACTTCACCGGATATATTTTTTGCGGCACCAAAACCAGTGCCAGCGTACCTAGAACCATCTTCGAGGATAAGTGAGCTACGCATCTACAAAAAGAAACAGACAAGTATTTCTAGCAATTAAAGAGATAAGACAAACACTAGACAATTGCACGATATACAGCGCACAAAATTCAGAAAACTCGGATGAAATGAAATGAGATAAACGCATAAGAATACGATGATTACACGGAAAAAATAGAGAATGTAATCGAAAGAAAATGATATCATGTCAGTTATTTAGCTTTTTCAGCTTACTACTGAACTGGAATCAAACTGTCCGTTTTTATTCCAGTTTAGCTGGTTGATTAAAACAAAAAAGGCATTCCTTTTTACTTCGAGAAAAAACTGCGATAAGAGCTACTTTCTCTTTTGACTTTAATGACACATAAAAAACCAACAGATATAAAGCGTGAAGAAGAACAAAAAAAGGAAATTTTTCCCTCTTCGATGAAGAGTACGAATCTCTACTTCAGACCAAAAACAAATGTATTACTGTACAAGAGAATCCTGCTTTTATACTTCTCATCACCAACTACTATCGTTTTCAAAAAGCAGTGTCCCTGGTTATTTTTTGAATAACTTCGGAATGCAATGTGCTAGAGATGTGCAGTGTTCACCATTCGATAGCCAAGACGTTATGTCATCTTTCCATAAGGAAAAACTTTTTTCACAAAATTTCCAAAAAACGGTTTTCTAGAAGAACTTTAGAAAATCTGTTCGTATTTCAGAACAGATCTTTCCAGATCAGCTTATTATACTCTTCTGCAGCTGTTTCAGCATTAAAAAGTTGAATTCATAACTTTTTAGGACTTTCAAAAACCTAGGCAGAAATCCCTGAAAGTCTTTTTTATTTTCAAAACCGAAGGCTTTAAGTGATTCAAAATGTATGTGTTACCAAAGTTTCAAGCAATTTTAATCTATTAAAATAATGTTGCTATAAAAAATTTGTTTCCGCGGTAATGGCTCAAAATCCGTGTTTTTTGAGAAACTAATCAGTCAAAGTTATTTTACTTTTCGCATGAAAATAAACATTACCACGGTGATCAGGAGCATCGATTATCTATGAACCATGTATTTTTGATATTACGAGACTACGAGAAAAGTTGATCCTGGTGGCCCTAGCAGTATTGTTACTTTGGAGCCCTCGATCCCATTTTGTAGAACACACTTTGGACTATCTATCCATGAAAATGCTTTGTTCGTTTTCTGAAATACGAACAGATTTTCCAAAGTTCTTCTAGAAAACCGTTTTTTGGA